AAGTATTGAGTAGTGGATAGTGGCTAGTGGGTGTTGAGTAGTGATTAGTGAGTAGTGGCTAGTGGTGTTGAGTAGTGGGTAGTGAGTAGTGTTTAGTGATTAGTGAGTACTGAGTACTCGTTAGTGAAAAGTGAGTAGTGAGTAGTGGATTGGGAGTTGTGAGTAGTGCGTAGTGAGTAGTGAACAGTGGGTAGTGGGTAGTGAGTAGTGGGTAGGGAGTAGTGAGCAGTGAGTAGTGAATTGGCAGTACTCAGTAGTGAGTATAGGATAGTGGTTCGTGGGTAGCGAGTAGTGATTAATGAGTAGTGGGTAGTGGGTAGTGAGTAGTGAGTAGTGAGTAGTGAGTAGTGATTAGTGAGTAGTGAGTAGTGAGTTAGGAGTAGTGAGTAGTGGGTAGTGGGTAGTGAGTAGTGAGTAGTGAATAGAGAGTAGCGAGTAGTGAATCGAGAGTAGTGAGCAGCGAGTCGTGAGTAGTGAGTAGTGGGTAGTGGGTAGTGAGTAGTGGGTAGTGAGTAGTGACCAGTGAATAGTGAATTGCCAGTATTCGGTAGTGAGTAGTGGATAGTTGTTAGTGGGTAGTGAGTAGTGGTTAATGATTAGTGAGTGGTGGGTACTGTGTAGTGTTTAGTGAGTAGTGTGTATTGAGTAATGGGTACTGAAGAGTGAGTAGTGAGTAGTGAGTAGTGAGTAGTGGGTAGTGAGTACTGAGTGGTGAGTAGTGGGTGGTGGGTAGTGAGTAGTGGGTAGTGAATAGAGAGTAGCGAGTAGTGAATTGGGAGTAGCGAGCAGTGAGTCGTGAGTAGTGAGTAGTGGGTAGTGGGTAGTGAGTAGTGGGTAATGAGTAGTGCTTAGGGAGTCGTGAATTGCCCGTATTCAGTAGAGAGTAGTGCATTGTGGTTAGAGGGTAGTGAGTAGTGACTAATGATAAGTGAGTGGTGGGTAGAGTGTAGTGATTAGTGAATAGTGTGTATCGAGTACTGGGTCGTGAATAGTGAGTAATGGGTAGTGAGTAGTGAGTAGTGGGTAGTGGGTAGTGGGTAGTGTGTAGTGGGTAGTTAGTAGTGTGTAGTGAGTAGTGAGCAGTGAGCAGTGAGAAGTGAGTAGTAAGTAGCGAGTAGTGAGTAGCGAGTAGTGAGTACTGAATACTGTTTGGGGCTAGGGTTAGGGTTTGGGGTTAAGGTTACGGGTGGTCGTGTTGGTAGTGTTAGGGGTGGCACGGGTCGGGTTCCGGAGCCACGGAGCGCCGTGGCGAAAAAGGGAGGGTCCCCGACGACGGACCGGGAAAGTGGGGCAGGGCGGGGGGGGTCCCCGACGACGGGTCGGTGAAAGGGGGGGGGGGTCCCCCCCCCCCCTTGGGGAGATCCAGCGGCGCGCCTTCACAACGCACACACACAACACACAACACACACAACGCACACAACACACTAACACACAACACGCACAACACACAACACAACACACACAATACACAACTTACAACACACACAGCACACACGACACACACAGCACACACAACACACAATACACAACAAACGCAACACACACACAGCACACAACACACAGTACACACAACACACACAACACACACACACACTACACACAACACACAACACACACAGCATGCACAGCACACACAACACACAACACACAAACACAGCACACAGCACACACAACACACAACACACAACACGCACAACACAACACACAACACAGAACTCACAACACACACAACACACAACACACCCAACACACAACACAACACGCATAGCACTCACAACACACAACACACACCACACACAACCCAGACAACACACAACACACACACACATCACACACAACACACAACACACACACACAACATGCACAACACACAACACACAACACACAACACAACACACAACACACACATTACACACAACACACGAAACACACAACACACGGCATACACAACACACAGAGTTCACACAACATACACACACACTACACACAACAGTTAACACACAGCACACACAGCACACTCAACACACAACACGCACAATACACAGCACTCGCAACACAGAGCACACTCAACACACAACACACAACACACACAGCACAGCACACAACACACAACTCAAACAACACACAGCACACACCACACAACACACAACACACAGCACACATCACACAACACACGCACAACACACAACACACAACACACCCACAACACACAGTACATAACACACACAACACACACAACACACACAACACAACATACAGCCCACACAGCACCTACACACAACACACACAACACACAACACACAACGACCACGGCACACACAACACAGTACACATACAACACACACAACACACAACACACAACACAACACACAACACACAACACACACAGCACACACAACACACAACACACACCACACACAACACACATTCAACAAACAACATACACAACCCACAACACACAACACACAACGCACACCACACACAACACACAACATACACATAACACGCAACACACAACACACAACACACACAACACACAACACTCAACACACTCAACACACACCACACACTCAACACACAACGCACACAACACACACAAAACACACAACGCACACAACACACACACCACACAACACACAACATACACACCACACCACTCAACACACAGCACACACAACACACAACACACACAACACACA